AGCCCTGCACACCTGCTCTCCACAGAGCCTGGAGCTCCTTTCTGCTGGAAACGAGCAGCTGTTTTGTATTCAACCTTCTGCCCACCTTCCTCACTGGCTCCCTACACCTGTCGAGACAGGTTACTCCAGGAAAGTCGCTCACACCCGTGCCACAGCCTTCGGCACCAGGGCTTAGATGTCGGTGCAGTCTCACTGGCTTATTTCTTTATGCCAGAAATGTACGCTTGATCTGCTGAGGATTCTGCCCAAGGTTGGGAACATGCCACAAAAAGGAGCTGAAGGTTTTTGTACTCATTTCCTGTCTTTTCAGGGACATCTGAGGAGGAAGAGTAGATAAACATATGGACGCTGTCGACTATCTTTGACTAAGAACTTGCGTTGTGAATTCCCTTCCCACTCTCCCCAAGACCCCAAGGATGAAGTCTTCTCTTCATCCTTCTCTCCCTCTGTCCCCTCTCCTTTTCATTTACACAGAAGTGCCTAGAAGTTTAGGAAATATTAGAATTAAAAACAGTGATGAGAATATTCCTCTTTTTAAAATCAGACGTTCTTTCTAATGTCCACAAAAGAAATCGCAGCTAATTGTTTTCCAAAGACGTAAAACTAAAATGTAAATTCAGTGTACTTTTCTTCTAGACAGATGGGTTGGTAGACTTCCACTATCAAAGGGAATATGTTACATTTGAAGAAAAAAGTGAACAAGTAAAGTTAATTGGTATATTTAACTGAATAGTCCATCCAACATGACACACTTACGTAAGGATAATTCAGGTAAAAATAAATGATATTGAAACAAAGAATATCCTTAATTCCTTCTCACGTGAATCTGAGCAACACTGTCCTGGGAGCTCTGTATCGGGTATTGGGCTGAAAATGCGGATTCCCTACGAGACACATATTACAACTCCCGTTGTGCTCACAGAGGTCCCGGGAAGGGGGACGATGTAACGAGGAGCACAGAAGCGGGCAATGCCAAGGCCGCAGCGCACACCCAGCGCTCCGTGCCGCTCCTACGCACTTCCCTGTTCCACCTCGCAGGGACGTGAGGAAATACCCTGACGCACCCCACTCACGCCTCCCACATTACTGTAAGTGCCAGGCAGGGACCAGCCAGGACATCCTCGATGGGTACGCGGGCGACAAACTGGAAACACTTTCGTTCCTGGAAATGCAACTGGAAATCCTCCTGCTCCGTGAGCTCCTAGTCACACCCGTGTCCCCATCTAAGGTAGCACATGTGCCGTGACAAACAGACCCCGGAGGGGTGGTAAGGATTTTCTGACACTTCCCGTTAGAGAAGGCCTTGCCGGGGTCGTGTGGTGTGGATGGCAGAGGACAGCCTCTGCAGACAGACACTTCCTAGCTGTGCCACACATGACCCTTCGTGTAGGACTCAGTTTCCTCGTCTGTAAAACACGGAGGGTAAGATCTCCTTCACTGCGTTACAGTGAGGATCAAAGAAAGTGCTGGCAAGTAACAGAAGTTTACGAGTTAGTTCCTTTCCATTGTGTCCCTGATTTAAACACCTCTGCTCGGTCAGGTGCGCAGCAAACAGACCCGCGCACGGTAACCATTCCTTCCAGAACACACAGGCACACACCAGGTTCAAGTGTTCCTTCAGGTATGATTTGTTTTGTGACTGTGTCCTGCCTATTAGGGATCACCTGTTGTAAGAAAACCAGTTCTTCAAACATATATTTCTCCTGAAGCGTTTTAACCACCATAAAACATGTTTATCCTCTCATCTCTTCAATCAATTTAATTCAATTAGCATCTGTACTATCAGCACTACGACTGCCTGTGTGAGTGGAGGACAACTGCTTTCTCAGACAGTTTAGAACAAAACTTCTCCGGTGCACCTTTCTCCCAGCAAAATGCAATAAGGAAAATGTTCAAATAAAAAAATATATACTAATTTGCATCGAGGCCAGGGTGAAGAACGTGGCAAAAAAGCACTTGTACTTTGATCTCTCATTGGTCCATCCTTTAGATAAAATATTTGCTCCCTTTTGGACTTGGAGACTGTAAACAAGTCTCCATATAAGGAAAAAAGTCACTTAACTTTTAAAGTGTGACTTACATGTAGCCGGTTCCGACTTGTTTGTGATGCATACGTTGTCACAAGGTTCTTCCAACATTTCAACTCTACCCGTGAATTGCTATGTTGTAAAACAAAAATGCTCTGATAGCAAAGATTATTCTGAAAGGTGGATTGCGGGGGAAAAAGGAGCTGGAAGGGCAGCAGCAATGTTTAAGTGAGATAATGAAGAGTTTCAGTAAGTGTCACTCGGAGGGGAAGGTCAAATTCAGGGGCCTTCTGTCTTGGCCGAAAGGAATCTCAGACTACATTGATTTCTCAGTCATTATAAGTATATTAGACTAGAGATTTGTGTACCTATTCTATGCTTTTAAAGTTTTTAATCTATATTTTTAAAAAATTTAATTGCTATATCAACAATCTTAATGCAAATTTGTTTTTAACTCAGAATCTGGGGGATAAATATACACTTAAAAATCAATGAACAGATAGAGATCAACACCATCTTGGTGAAGCAGCCCAATGATGACATGAAGAGTTATTTTTTAAACTTCATCCCAAAAGTATTATCTGTAAGGATGCACCGTAAACGGTTCACTGCGGGAGTGGGATGGGAAAGGGGACTTTGTCCATGTAAAATTCTGTGCTTTTTCTTTTTCAAAACAGGAGCACACTGTATAATCCAGAACATTTTTCAAGTTTTTTTGTTTGTTTGTTTTAATCGTCATCATCCTGCAGCCGCACAGTGTAAAGAACCTGGAGTAAGAAGTCTGGGCCCGACGCGCGGACGTCGTGCGGTCGCAGGTGAACGCACACGGGTCATTCGACCCGACGTGACCTCGGGCAGCTCTTTCCCGCTCTCCGCGCCCGCACTGTGCGTCCGCCGCATCTCCTCGCGCACTTCACCCCGATGCCCGCGTCTTCCCCGCGAACCGCTCTCCGGGGAAACTCGGACGCGGCGCGCACGGGGCTCGGGGCTGCCGCAGGTGTCGTCCGCAGGAGGGACGGTCCGGGCACCTGTCGTCGGGCAGGAGGGACGGTCCGGTCGCTGGGCCGCACGTGCGCACCGGGGACCCCGCGCGGACGCCGGAGCCGCGGCTGCTCTGGGAGGGCGCAGGGCCCGACGCGGGGCCCGCACGTCCGGCTGCTCCGCTTCGCGCCGCTTGTGCCGCGGGTCCATCTCGCGGTCGGCCCGGGAGAATGTTCTCGAACCGGCTTCCTTCCCAGGGCGGGGCAGGGCGGGGCGGGGCGGCGGGGCAGGGACCAGCGGCCGGACCGGAGCCGCCGCACGTGCCTGCGCTCGGCCCCGCAGCAAGGACGGCGTCGGCGGCCGCGCACGGAGCCCGCGAGCCGCGCAGCGGGACAGGCTCGCGGTCACTGACTGCGACGGGGACGACGTGCGTGAGTCTCTCATGAATGTCCTCACAGGGCGCGTGACAGACACTGTCGCCTGCGCGGGCCGCGTCCCTCGTCGGTGTGACCCAAGCGGCCGCGCAGGGGTCGGAGCGCGTGCCCCGGTTAAGGCGGGTCCATCCGTCCGTCCGTGAGCAGCAGAGCCGGCCCGGCCCGCGGCGCCCGCCGCTTCCCTCCCTCTCCCTGCGGACGCGGACGGACGGCGAAGACTCCAACTCGGCCCCTTCGTCCCGCACCCGCCTCGCCCCCGGACCCGCGACCTGGCGAGACGCCCCACGCGGAGCCGCGACCTTCCCCTGCGGGCCAGGCTCCGCGCATCCCGCACGGTCGGGCCGGGACTCCTGCTGGGACCCACCGGGGACGGAGCTCGGGGCCCGCTCGACGGCGGCCAGACCCCCGGCCCGACGGACGCGGAGCCGGGGCGACGCCGAGGTGTCCAGTTCCCGCGCGGAGGGACGGGACCGGGGCCTCCGACCGGCCGCGTCGGAGCAGAATCCGCACCGGACGCCCCGCCTGGGCCGCACCGCGTCTCCGCCGCCGCGGGCCGGGCGCAGGGTTGGCTCCGCTCGGGTCCGCGGCCGGAACCTCTCGGGGACCGTCTCAGGAGCGAGGCCCAGCCCTCCCGCGACAGGCGACACGCGACACACGCCACCTCCCCACGGGGCACAGGGACTTCCCCGCGACTCCCCTGACTTGACCCGGTGGGGCGAGCCGGCCTGACACCGCCGGAGAAGGAATCGGAGCTCGGGGACGTGGCCAAGGACGGGCACGGGCCGGGCTTGTGGGTGCACATGAGCAGTGCGGGGACAGTGCGGGGACATGAAAACCCACCACGCTCTACCCTCCATAGTCCTACATCCTCTAAAGAGGAAGACGCCCTCATCCGAAACCCAGGTTCTGTGACAAACAACAGGAAACCATCGGGCGGCGCAACTCAGGAAAAGGAGTCCAGATTCTCGAAATGGTTTTATATAGAAACATTTTACAAAGATTTACAACCGGAGATCATCGTGTCATAGCAGAGAAGGAGGCAGACAACCGCAGGCAGGAGGAAAAGTGCTCACAGGGCGGACCGCGGTCCCCTCGAAAGTGCACGACGGTTAGGGACTGGCATGTGGCGAGATGACTTACAAAACAGTTTTCTTAAAAATCCGTACAAAAGTGTTTCTATGGCTCCATCCTTCTCACAGACGTGTGACGGAGCCACACGGGCGACCAGCCTTGCTCTACAACTGTGTAAAAATAACTCCAAGCACAACATGGTGAAGGAAAAATGCTCTACGGGACACATTTTAGAGTCAGATGATTTTACGACAAAACCTTCCCATGCGAGCGCTGTCTGCATCTCGTGGCCCAGCAGGAAGCGGCTCCCTCACATTCCAAGATACACATGGCAGGGGACAGCGGCGGAGACAGCGCTGGGGCTCAGCTCAGGTCTCCCCTTCCGTGGGACTTTCGCTCCCAGGTCCTGCGGCCGGACCATCTGGCACATGAAGCCCTGAGTGGTCACCGCGGTGCAGCCACAGCCTCGCCCCCGGCAGCTCCGCAACAGCCACTTCTGTCAAGTGCTACATCGGCTGACCACACCACCTCACCAGGAAAATAAAAAGACGAAGGTGCTCCCTAAACTACAACCATAAACCCTATTTGGGAATGCTAGTGAAGGACTCCATTCTTCCATATAAATGTAAATCCCTTCCAGTCTATAGGGTCCCTAAGAATAACACTGGTTCCCAAACTCTCTTCTTCATAAAGGAAGCAGAATTTGTATTTATAATGGGAATAAGATGTTAGAAGAAAGTAAATGAGCTAGACCTGGACACGAATGAGCTTTAGGGGAAGATGAAGCATCTGAACGAATTCTTGCACAGATAACAGATATTTGCCAAAGAATAAGTTAAATCCCATGACTAACCGCTCTTACGTAAAATCTCATGCCCTCGTGAGAAACGGAGAAATCAGTGTTACCATTCCACTGGCTACGTTTAAACGGAGCTTTTCTTTTCCTATTTTTCTTCCACCTTAAATGTAAGGGAAATTAACCAGCTCACTTCCTCTGACCTAAGTTTCCTAAATAGCTTTCAGCCCTCACAGCACAAGGGGGAACCAGAGAAGGGCCTCGCGGCGCACGGACAGGCTGAAGCAGGAAAGCAGCGAGCGCGCGATCTAACCCGGCGGAGGCGGCCCCAGCTCCGCTGTCTCACACAACGGATGTGTTCGCTGGGTTTTCATTCGAGACTTCTTTTTCCTCAGCACCACAGGCAAAAAGCTTGCTGCCCAGAGTTTTCTGGGCGAATCGAAAATACATGATGTGGCCCATAGCCACAAAGGAGACTGAAATCAGCACGAGCAAGCCAAAAGCTTCAGGATTCGGAGCCAGGATGACCATGATGAAATGCAGAAGATCGAGAAGGTAGTTCATGGAGTTCTGGACCCCGTTGATAATGCCTCGTTCAGACTCAATTACATTTTCTTGCAGCAGCTGTGTCACAGTTAAATCAAAGGACCAAAGACCTATTAATAAAACATATTTGTTAACAACTGAATTTTAATTCATAGCTTTACATTTCAGATTCACAGTTTGAAAATGCTGACATGTGCAAAATATAGATTTATCCCTGGCATCGTAAAGGCACTGTGCATGTACATCATCATAGCCTTGTCTTGGAGAGTTCTCTTCATCAACAAATACTGGTTAAGTAAGTGTTGATTCACTAAATTCTTCACCTGAAACTAAGATTACACTGTATGTTAATTAACTGGAATTTAAATAAAAACTTGAAAAATAAAAAATAAAATAAAAATGCTGGGTTAGTAGTATGGGTTACTAGTGGTTTCAGGAAAGGATTTCTAGAGCCGCCGTACAAAACTCAGTCTGATCTACAAACATTTTAATTCTATTTTACTGTGATTATTTATACAACAAAAGTAAAACTCTGAAATCAGAGACAATAAATCTGAATATAAGTATGAGTATTTTTAAAACTTAAAGTGAATGTACTAATATCTTCTTACGGTTAAAGTTTAAGGAGACTTTAATCCATTATTACGTTTACTGCTTGGGTTCTAAAGCCACTACAATAAAGCTGTCTTGCCTGAATATTAATTATCCTTGATAAATTAACGGGCTGCTTTGTATCATAAGATAAACACAGTTTCATTTCAAGAACAAATTCAGGCAGAGGTAATTCATCAGTGCTCTATTAATAATTA